AAGGACACGCTGTCCACCATCTCGGGGCCCACCACCCAGAACACCTATGGACGCAATGAGGGGGCCTGGATGAAGGACCCCCTGGCCCAGGAGGAGCGCATCTATGTCACCAACTACTACTATGGGAACACGCTGGTGGAGTTCAGGAACCTGGACAACTTTAAGCAAGGTGGGCTTGTGTCACCCCCGGCGCTGCGCCAGCTGCTGCTCAGCTGGTCCAAGCAGTGTCCTTGTTCCCCGGGGTGCTGCCCCGTGGGGGATGCTCTGCCCAGGGACCCTCCCCGCTTGGGCACCGGGTGCAGAGCACGGGGCAGGCTGGGCTGCCTGTGGTGGCTCTGCACTTGCCTGTCACCATGCCAGGCTGTGGTTGGTGGCCGGGGAGGGAGTGGAAGCAGGGCTGGGGACTGGTGGCTGGGCCACCGGTCCCAAAGCAAAGGGAGGGTCTTACCACCAAGGTGTCTCTGCCTCGCAGGGCGCTGGAGCAACTCCTACAAGCTCCCGTACAGCTGGATCGGGACAGGGCATGTTGTCTACAATGGCTCCTTCTACTACAATCGGGCCTTCACGCGCAACATCATCAAATACGACCTGAAGCAGCGGTACGTGGCCGCCTGGGCCATGCTCCATGACGTGGCCTATGAGGAGTCCACCCCGTGGCGGTGGCGGGGCCACTCAGACGTGGACTTCGCTGTGGATGAGAATGGCCTGTGGGTCATCTACCCAGCCATCAACTATGAGGGCTTCAACCAGGAGGTCATCGTGCTGAGCAAGCTGAACGCGGCTGACCTCAGCACCCAGAAGGAGACCACGTGGCGGACGGGGCTGCGGAAAAACTTCTATGGGAACTGCTTTGTCATCTGCGGGGTCCTGTACGCGGTTGACAGCTACAACAAGAGGAACGCCAACATCTCCTACGCCTTTGACACGCACACCAACACACAGATCATCCCCCGGCTGCTCTTTGAGAATGAGTATGCCTACACCACGCAGATAGACTATAACCCCAAGGACCGCCTGCTCTACGCCTGGGACAATGGGCACCAAGTCACCTACCACGTCATCTTTGCCTACTGAGACCCCCCGCCACAGTGGGGCACTGCGAGCCAGGGGCCACCAGCACCTTTTATTATTATTTTTATTGTTATTATTGTTATTTTGTACAAATCAAAGAGTAAATGATGGGTTTTGTTTCCAGCTGGTTTTTTATGGTGGATTGTAGATCGATCCCCAGGCCAGAACCGCCCCCTTCATCTTTGCTGTAACCTTGCTTCTGTTTGTCCTTCCCAGGGGGAGGGTCCCTCCTGTGGGAGGGCAGACCCAGCCCCCCTGCCTGTGGAGGAGGAGGTGGCCCAGACAGTGTCCTCCCGATGAGGTTTTTCGCTAAAGATGATCAGCAAGAGACCCAGAACCAGTGCGAAGCTGGCCTTTCTGCTGCAGGCACCCGGTCCCTGCGGGACGCTGATCTCTGTCTGTCCTGGTGGAGGGGGTGCGTGTCCCATGGGAATGTCCCATCTCTCAGGACTGTCTTCCCGGCCGATGGCCGACAGGCCCTTTGGAGACCCTGCTGTACAACGGGGCTGCGAGTGCAGCTCCAGCAGCCCCTGGTGCTGGCGCTTACGCCGAGGACTGTCCCCTGCAGCCAGGGCTCTGCCCTTTGCAACCTGCCCTGGGGGGCCAGGAGCATCCTGAACCCCGACTCGTGTCCAGAGTGAGCCAGGGGCAGGAAGGGGACACTGTAAATATGTGTAGATGGCTTTTGTTTGTTCATTTTGTAACCCAAAATAGTCCCCTTTGGCATTTGCTGGGTGAAGGCTCTGTTCTGCTGGGTGCTGGGCTGCCTGGGTGGGAGCTTGGGAGCTGTGGGAGCCCTTGGGACTGGGGGAGCCCTTGCTCCCCATCCCACTGCCACTCCATCTCCCACAGGGTCTCAGCCCGTGTATCTTCTCACAGCCGTGCTTGCCCTGGTCCCAGCTGCTGGCCACTGGCCGAGTCACAGAGACATGGTCCTTCTTGCCTGGCACCATCTTGTATTTACCTGCTGTGATAATAAAAGATCAAGTACCTTTGCAGCTGTTCGGGGGTTTCTTTGGGTCTGGTTCACCCTCTGGCTGTGTGGAAATGCATGAGGGTTTTTTTGGTGGGTGTTGGTTGATTTGGAGAGTGCCAGGTTACAAACCAAGTGGCAGCAAGGCATGCTGGCTGGAGGGGACCTCGGGGCCATTCCAAGCTGCTTGGTCCTGGTACTATGGCTGTGCCCAGCCCCCAGAAGCGTTTGCCTCTGTCACAACTGCAATTGCTCTCGACCTGTCACCTCCCCTCGGCCTCTTCTTCCTCAGGCACTGGGTGAGCAACTGGTGCAGGGTGTCGTCTCCCCAGGAGCAGGATGGGTCTGGGTGCATGTAGCTTGGGCAGTGCCAACACTGCTGTGCAGAGCCACGCCGCAGCCCAAGAGCCAGCAGAGACTGAGCTGGACTTCTCTTTTGCTTATGTAAAACAGTATTAACAAGGAAATTAATAATAATAAATAAAAGAACCATTTTATTGCCTTCAGTGCTAGAGACACAGACAACAGAACTACACAGGAGGAGAGGTGCTTTCCACTGCTGGAGCCCACGGCTGCTGGCTGAGGATGCGGTTCCACAGCAGCCCTTTCCCATGTGCCAGGCTATGCCACGCTCAGCCACCACCATCAGGTTCCCTCCCCAGCTCCCCAGCAGCAAACGACCCCCCAGAGCAGCCAGTGGCCCCTGCCCAGGGCTGCGAGGGAGCTGCGTGCCTCTGGCTGGGGCACTGCCGGGGTTTTATTTTTGACTATTGTGTGAGCTGGCCCATAGTCAGGTGGGGCCGGGGCCAGGAAAACAGAACTGGTGCAAGGAGCAGAGCCAAACCCCTCGCCGAGCCCGGCTGCTTCCCAGCAGCATGAGCGCCGAGGGGACAGGGGGCCTGTGCAGCTCGCGCTGACTACGTGGCAAAGGGCAAAGCTCTGCCATAGTGTTGCAAGGCACATACTTTACAGAGCTGTATTGCTCCTCACCCTCCTCCTTGCCTCCCCCGAGCTGTTTGTCTTGCTGAGGATCAACCTTTATTTCCTAACAGCCACACATACAATAATAACAATAATAATAATCATCATAAAAACCCCACATCAGTCAGTCAGC